AGTGTTTCAGCGCCATAGCGCTGCTACAGCCAGCAAAAACGCATATTGTCGAGAGGCTGGGTGTGTATGTAGTGTGTGTGTGTGTGTGTGTGTGTGTGTGTGTGTGTATGTGTTCGAAAGCGAATGCACTTTGTCACCCACTTTCATCTCAGCAACCAGGAAAGCTGGGAGGCTGAAACTTTGGATATATGTTCTTAACCGTGTGTCATCCTCCCGTTTTAAGATCTTTCCCTATTCGCACCTGGACCTCGCGTACGGGACCCCGAAAGAAATATGTTGGCGGGAAACGATTTCGCGAACCAGGTAACGTAGAAAGCTGAAACTTTACAGATATATTCTCTGTGCGCGCGCGAGATGGGTTTAAGCGGCCTGGGTTTAAACGATTGAAACATGCTTTCAACTCATGCAAACGAGTGATCCGCTCTGCTACCGTTGAATAACTTTGACATTGATCATCCAATGATTTCCGTTGCAGAATACGCAAGATCTTTTTCTATTTTCGCCTGAAGATCCTTCACTTTTGGTTTTTCCTTGCTGGAATTTTGATTCCCGAAGGTTTGATTTAGCATTGCGTTTAACTGCTGCTAGTGTTGATGTCTCGTTGAATACTGAGCTTCTGCGTGATTAACTGATTCTTTCACTTGTGAATCTTCGCTCATCGTGTTTGAATTCAGTTGACTGAATTCTGAATATGTCTTCTTTGCGCTTAACTATCTTTTCCAAGCACTCACACAATTTCGTCACTGACCAAACAGTCTCATTTTCCTTTTGCTGATAAATTTCGTTTAGATTCCAAACAGGAAGCTTTTCTTCTATAGCTATCTCTATGTTTGAATGCTCGAGATCTTCGTTGAGTGCAGCAAGCTGCCGCAGAATTCGTTCAATTGATTCCACCGTTGATTTCAAGTCACGATCAGTTCTTTTTATTGATTTGAATTCACTGTGTAAAGATCTTTTGATAATCGTTGGATCCCCGAACTTTTTGACCAGAATTTCACGAATTTTTTGGTACTTGTCTGGGGAAACTTCGTAGCCTTCAACCGCTCGTAGTGCAGCGCCTTTGAGAAAAGGCACTAAATAATTGAGTTTTTGAACATCTGGCAGGTTTTGATTCTCGCCAGTATTTTGGATCACCGTTGAATTCTCTTAAAGACAATCTCGGTAGCTTCACCAC